CAAACAGTCCTAACAACTCTCTGTATATTTATGTATATTAATTCAAATGACAGAATTTAACTCCGCTAACTTTCATTCTTATATTATATCAACTCAGTATAAAGGATTGTCGACTAAGAGACAACAGCTTTGTTACTAGACTCCGAAAAGTCTTCTCTAATTTAAGTCAATGACTTTTTCACAGAGAGACAACTCAACTGCCTACAGCCCACAACTCCTAGTTTGGGTTATATTAGAGTTCATTTTTACGACAGGTGCATAATTATGGCCTCGTTTATGATTATGTGTGCTACGGAATGTAATAACGTGTTATTTAGTTGAGCTTGATGAGCCGTTGATAACTCTGTGACATAAGACACCCCACCCAGTGCCGAGCTGAAGTCAGTTGTTAATGCCATGGAGTGTAATTACATAGCTTTCTCATTAACACCCTGTCCGGTTTCAATTTCCCGCTTAATTTTGTTTCATTAAAAACGTCTAGCCCTGCAGTACATTGTGTTTCAGTTTCAGCGTTAATGCCCACTGTCAAGTAGTTTAAGCGCCCCATTCTCAGTCCCATTCCCACTCCCCTAGGCCACCGAAAAAGCCATTAACATTTCGCCAGAAACTGGCGACAGTTGATGGAAAAAATAATGCTTGATGACATTTATAATGACTAAAATGCTGTACGAATTGTCCTTGCCACGCTGGCTGCTATCCTTGTTGTTGTTTTGGTTGTTGTTGTTGCTGCTGCTGCTGTTGCTGCTGCTGCTGCTGCTGCTGTTGCTGCTGCTGCTGCTGCTGCTGTTGATAAGTTGACATGCTCCGCATCCGTTGTATCCATTTGAATTGGCAGAATTTAAACCTCGTCATCATAATTCTGTGCAATCCACTCGGAAAAGAGCTCTTCAGCCAGTCGATTTAATTCGACTGTGCCGCGCTGCCCTCATTATGCTGATAAAAACTAACAATTACGCTGTTCGGCAAAATTTTAATTCTTTTTAGCCTCCCAACTGAAGCCGATGTTTGTATAATTTTTTGTCTGTTTTTTATTTGATTTAAATTTACAAAAATAAATATAGAACTTAAAAAATTACATAAATATAATATACCATACTGAAGTAAGTATACGTATTATTTATTGGCATTCATTTAAAACTTCGAATTTAAATCAGAGGGATAAATGAGTACATTACACATTTAATTCAAAGAGTTTTTTTTGATGTGTCAACAGTGATGTACAAAACTAAATTCATAACACTTTACTCTAGTACTCCAATTCTGTGCTGGGCAGTGTAATTGTTTATGTTTGCAATGCCGTCAAGCTCTAATCATGCTCGACTTTTCGATAACAAGCTCTATGTGGTATTACGATTGTTCAATGTTTAGGCAACTCATCTGGGATTGTCAGGGCTTTCAACAGGTTCGAATAATTGCAGCACATGGAAAAGCTGTGCAGCTGGAAAACGTGCCAGGTCTCTAAATCAACACAGCTGCCACAGACGTAAACACAGCTGGGCAGGGGCAGGGACATATGTCTGTATTATTAATGATATGCACATTCACGTTTATGAATTACGAATTATATTTTGGTATATGTATGGACACGCCTTAGTATTTGTCTTGAATTATTTTCAGCAGAAACATAATTTGTCAACACTAAACAAAATTCCTATATATGTTATTATATGTGACACACTTTATTTATTTAAGGCAATTATTAGGTTATGTATATTTTTTAGCTACCATGATTGGCTAAATACCTCTATTGTTATCCTTGAAGCCATTCCTTAATAGAACTGGTATTTTTAATCATTGCCTACTTTTAGGCACTCATTGTTTATTGGATTATGCATAAGCTGTGCAATATTGCCCGAGTAATATATTAGCCATTGAATATTGTGATACACATATGCATATCGCCATGGTTGGCGTTTCATGGCATCGATACCAAGTTTCCAGGCCGTAGCTGCCACAAGAACAGTCATTACAAATGCATACAACTGAAATCAAATTGGCCCTCAAACTGATGCAGCATGTCCTCTGCTCGCCCCCACCTGCCTCACTTGACATTTACCCCCAAATTGCTGGCAGTGTGGTGAGCCAGGCGACATCATTTTCAGCCCCGGCAAGCCAAACCGAGTGCAATTAGGAAATTTGCAAAATTGTCTGCTCCATGGCCACAGGGCACTGCAAATCACTGCTCGAGCCGAGAGTTGTTGTCTTTGCTTCCTTACATGGCACAGAGACACACACGCTTACCTTCATCACACACACCCACAGAAATTACACAGACGGAAGTGACAGACCATATATAAAGGAGCGTGTCTTACAATTGAGCACTCCCCCTATTTGCATAGCAAACATCAGTCAATTATGGGATTATCTTAAATGATTATCATCATCATGGTCAAAAGTATATGCATTGTAGTAAAACCGAACTCAAATAAAATCGCATTTGCTTAAATCAAATAATGCATTTTTCAATTATAACTTAAGCAAACGTTCAACTAGTCTCTGGGTGCGAATATTGCTCATAGATATTCAAGCTGATTTATTTATTATATGTATGTATATGGCAGTGTGCTTGTATTTTGTGTTTACTTGCGTGCTTTCAGCTGCCATAAATTGGAGAACAGCATCGACCCAGAATTGCCTGCAAATACTCTGCGGCATCTAAATGAGCAGCCCATGAAGGGGCCAACCATAATTCAAGGCGGTCCTGGATCTGCATCTGAACGTTGGCCCTGCCAACAACACAAATCTGATTTACTCCTGCCGCTGGCCCTTCCGGCACGAGACTTTGCCGAAGGCGCATGGCTTCGCATAGGTTGGCAAACATATTTGTAATTAAACGCTTTTGTGCACCCGAGGTGTAGTTGTGCTAAGACCCCATTAATTAGGTATTTCTATTGGAACGCCTACTCGCTTTGTTCTCAAGAGACTCAGCAGAATCAACGGAACTTCATCGCGTGCATCAGAGTGCAAAGTAGGCCATTAAAGTAGCGAAACGTTCATGTGATAACGGCTACTTAATATTCTGTAATCTCTTAGCTATATTTTCATCAATTATCATGAAGAAAATATTTTAGTTGGGTTGACGGTTAAAACTAAGGCTTCTATAATAAACTATGATAAACTTTAATAATCAAATAACGACTACATTCACCCAAACAACCTATATTAACTTTCCTATCTTGTATAATTAAACATTCAATGAGAAGACTATATCTGCCTATATCAGAATATATGTATGCGGTATCAAGTTTGCTGTCAACTTTTTATCTGAAACCCAAACAAGAAGCTAATCAAATAAAGTGAATGTATTATTATCTCAATACTAAGTATTAGTGTGGCTATATTTATAAACATTTATTTATTTATTAAAGATACAAATAAATATGAAAGGAAAACTAAACTAAAATGGAGACTTTTGTCATCATCAACACATTTACATATCTTGTAGAATTTAATATAAGCTAAGATTTTTCGCACCTTTTTTGAGACTCTCACTTGGTTGTTAAATTTCCAATTTAAAGCAATTTCTAGTACGTATCAACAGCTACCTTACATTGTACCTTCAGGCTGAAATTAAATGTTTAGATTAAAGTACAATCTCAAGTATTTCAAATAATTCTTGGCTCTGCTGCCAGCAAAAATGTTGTGAGCAATCAAAAAAGAATTTAATAAGAGCCACTGTTTCGCTGTACTCGAACTGGGAGCTTATTGATTTTCTGAAATGTTCACTTTGCTCGTGCTATCCATCCGTATCTTGTATATAAACATTTTATGCAGTCGGTTGGGCTCAGATACAATGTTTCTACAGCGTTTTTGCTCTATGTATGTTTCACAAGCCAAAGAAAAACGATTTCAAGTAAATATTTGTATTGATTGTGCTCACATAATGTATGAGTAATATTTATACAGTTTTAACTGTGTCTACAACAGGGAATATTAAATTTGGAAGGTATTTAAGGCAATTAAATCAAAATTCATGCTTTGGTTGGCATGCTGCAATGTTTGTAAACCGTTTAAATCGTAATATTTTAAATCACAACTATTCACATACATATGTGCATAATTTCCTGACCTGTCAGAGCTGCACTATCGGCAGCAGCAATTGACAGCTGTTGGGCATGTTGATGTGAGAGGACTTTTAGGACTCAGCTGCCATTAGCAGCGCTATTTAACACTTGTCCACGTCACTCCCAGCGACACAGCCAGATAGACGACACACACACACGGTGTGAGCGTGTGCGAGCATGGATCTAATTTCCATGTTGTCAGGCTGGAAAGTGGATTCACAAGGACTGCTGTGAAGTGGCCTTAATCGACATCCCGTCGTGTTTCAGTTAATTTACGTGAAATGCTTGTCTTTAAGAGATGCGCAAATTCAGCTGAAATGCATTCACACTTAACTGACTGTAGCGTTGTTTGCTTGGGTTTTTGGGGCCGGAGTTGCGCCTGAACGACAATCAACAAGTTTTTGTTGTTACGACTGCTGCTGCTGCTGCTGCTGCTCCTGCTGCCAGTTGCACTTGCAAAATGCATTTGCTGTTGAGTACATAGAGCATCCTCAGCGCAGCGGAAGATGTAAGAGGTGAGAATGAGGAGGGGCGCGGAGGGAGGAGGACATGCAGCAGCAGGAGCTCGCACGAATATCCTGCGTCATAAAAGGCAGCACTCCCAAAGGAGACAGGTACGCGAGGTATGTATGATGCGGTACGACGACATCATCGACATGTAAGGAAAAGGATATGCATGTAGTTGTCCGTCTTGCTGTCGGGTTGTCCATCTGCCAGGTTGTTATCTTCAGCAATATGACAATCTAGCCGAGGGCGCTTGTTGAAAGACTGTGACGCGTGCAGCAGCAGGAACAGGAGCTGCTTCAGAGGCAGCAGGAAAAACGGCATCAGCAGCAATCATAAAAGTTTCAAACTCTATGGACTCCGCACCAGCGCAAACTATGTGTGTAACTTTGTATATACTTGTGTGTGTGTGTGATGTGTATAATGGCATATTCGAGTTAAGCGAAATAACATTTGCACTGCTCCCGAAGGCAGGGCCCAGCGCAAGGAGAACTCGCTGACTCTCAGGTCTTGGCAAATATGCATAAGGAAAATATTAAAGATGAATTACACGTGTGTGCGACTGCAACGCAGAAAACACGTGCCTTACACAAGGTGCGAAAGGCAATATGAATGCTTCAGGTCTGCACCACCTGCCGGAGCCCAGGTGCCGTACCCCAAGACCCATCTGTGGCGTGTATGTGTGTGAGTGTGTGGGTGTCTGTATGCGAGTAATCATGTAGCGAACATTTTCAATTAATTCAATTCTTGATTTAACATGAATTCCAATTTCGCTATGAATATTCCAAAACTGAATGCGGGGCGTCGCCTTTGTTGAGCAGCCAATGGAATTTTATTAACAAAAATATGTCGAAGAATTTTAATTAATTTACAGCTCAGGGTAAAAAAAAATAGGAATAAATTTTGATAAAAATTTAAAGTAATATTTAAAGTATTACTAGGCATTTCAAAATGAAACAGAATAATAATTATAATAAAAATGAAATTATGCAGATGTTTTTATGTTTGAGTAAGTATGAGAATATTATGCGTTATAGTATTAATTTAAAAATGATTTTAGAATATTGTCTAATATGGATACAATAACAAATGATTTAATTCCAAGTATAAACGCTATTAAGTATGTAGATTCTCAAGCTCACTCAATACATACCATCACATAAATAACTGTTAACCGATTTATTCTCCTCTGTATTTCTTGTAATTATTTCTTTTCGGTATTTCTTCTAAGAATTTCGTGTACGTCTTTAATGCTTAGGTGAGCGATCACACACTTCAGTTCGCTTCACTTGGGGCCTGAAAGATCGAAGGAATACTACAGCTGCTGCCCTTTATATAGGTAGATTTTCACCCCCACACTAAGTCGCGCTAAAATGTTGAACCCGACGTCAGAGTGACCACTGGGGGCACTCTGTGCTGCTCTCTGCATTCTAGCTTCGAATTACTCAAATATAAATACCAAATGAATACTGCTGCATCCATATAGACAGCTTAAATGCTCTTCTGAAGAGATGAACTTGCTGTCCTTAGGCAGACAGGCAGAGAGACCGATGAGAGACAGACAGATATACAGACAGACATACGAACAGGAATAGTTAATCGGATTGTCTCATTGCGCTGCCTTTGAATATATGTATATGCTGGATAAGGCTAGAGGTTTAGATGCTTATGTACATTAATATTTACATTTGTTGGATGGTTTTCTTTTTTATAGTTCTCATAATGACTAGGACATCTGCATAGTTTGCCTCAATTTCTTGCTATACCATCCCATACTCGCTTTCAACATATTCAATGCCATTGGGCTAAACTGGCAACACGAATACTGTGAATGCTTAACAGCTCTCTGCTATTGCCCATAAACTGTTAGTCTCTCTCTCTCTCTCTCTCTCTCTCTCTCTCTCTCTCTCTCTCTCTCTCTCTCTCATATAAGTACTTAAATTATCCACGATTGAGAGATAGAGATGAGTCTACAAACAGTGATGTAATTTTATGCTGTTAACGCTTAATAGCTTACGACTATCGGGATATTCCTAAAAGCTGTTTACTAATGTTTACTATGCCTTACGCAATACAACATGTAGACGTATCAATAATAAACTTTATCCTTACGTAAACTTTTGTTTGTTAGGTACTAATCAACTTTAGATCTGTTCGATGCGCATACTTTAATGATCCATCAACAAAAGAATAGGGACATCGTGGTCAGTGTGCTTCTACTAAATAATACTCTGTCGACTATCTGTATATATGCATTCAACAAATGTTTTCAGCTGTTATCGAATACCATTTCAAATTTTCGATCGATTGTAATTTTGTTCAGTTAATAGTGTTTTTGAATAGCAGTGCGAATTGTCACGAGTTAGAAGTCGACATCGATGAGGCACGCGCAGATGAGTGCTTTAAGTCAAAAATTCATTCGCATGAAAGCCGCTTAATTTGTTTTTCATTCTTTTTTCAAGTCAAAAAGCGCAATGCGCGCGTTGGCGCACTCGCGACACTTCCGGCGGAAACGCACACAGACACACACATAGATACAGAGACAGGGAGGGACAGAGACAAAGCGTCGTGGCGGCTTCTTCATTTACTGTTCATGCATGACCACTTCAACATTTTCGCTCCTCATTCGCTTCCAGTTGGCGTTGCCGTTGCCGTTGCCATTGCTTACACTTCCGGTTTGTTTTATGCTTCGTTGTGGCAAGACGGAGTCGACTTGGGGGCCCCTGGATGCCCTTAAAAAACATTTCCAATTCGATTTTTTGGCGATTGCTCTCTCCTTCTCTCACTCACACTCCCCCTCTGCGCAAATGAGGGATATGCGTACGTGCTGACATCGTTGCTCATACGCTCCATTGTACGCAGCATTCTTCTTCTTCTTCTTTTTCTTGTTCTTCTTCCCACTGACTGTAACAAAATGAATATTTTGTAAACTCCACTGTTCCCAGGACGAAATTTATTTTCCGCTTTTGCATATTTTGAGGGTAATTTGGGTAAAAGCATTTGAGCGCTTTCATATTTCTCTACATCCTAACACCCTAGAATATAGATATCTATCAAATAATTTGAATACAAAAAATAAAAATTTAATCGTATTGATCCAAACAAATTATTTTTATATTGCTTAACTTTATTTATATGCGGCTAATATTCCTATTCATAAATTTCCCAAAGCCAATGAGTCGTCCAAAATGGTTCAATGGTTTTTCTAGGGTATTTTTTGGAAACATCGGTATACAACACAATGTTGCCTACTAGCCTTTGTTCGTTGTTCGTTGTTCTTTGTTCTCAGTGCCAAATCGTTCACATAAAATATTCATACGTTTCCTCGGTGGTTTTTGACTCTCAAGTGTTTGCAATTCAATTACAATTCAATTGATTTTCGTCTGCGGGCCCAATCTGGGAGACCGATTTTTCAGCCCTGGCCTGGTTTCGCCACCACGGGTGTTGGCTACAATTTATGAGCTTAGAGAGACACGTACTTCAATAGAGATACGAGCATAAAAAATGTAGCCGTACAGCACCGCGTCACATAAGTATATGCAAAAAGACGCTAAAAAACCCATTTTCGCATTCCGCTTTCTGCTTTATATTTTATAATCATTATTCTAAGGCCGTCCTCCTTCAGGGAAGTATTAACTCAATAATCATTTCTTAGTCTTACAATACAATACAGGGCTTGCATTTACATGCCTCTTTTCATCTATGCAAGCTAAAAGGTTGCGGAGTAAATGGGCGAACCATTGCTCTTTGCAATAATTTCTTTATATGTAGAGCAGCTCGGATATAAAGCGAAGGTGGGGTATGACAAGTATGCAACAATGAAATAGTCAAAAATTTCAACATCTCTTTGATCGGAGATTTAATAAGCGAGCCATCTGCAACAGCTTACTACAAGTCCATTCGATTACTTTTCCCTGCAATTCGGCTTATGAGGAGACTTTTAAGAGTCATATCACTTCTAAGATAAGATAAGTGTAGATTTTCATCTTATCGTTCAATACTATCATTTAATACTAGTGACTAGATAGTAAACAAATATTAGATGTGGCTCAACAATAAATAAAACTGAATATAAACAAGTGACTCCCATGTACATATATATCAATTCATTGTTAAATTTTCTTTTTTCTAGCTCTTTTATATACCTAACTCCCAACTGTGTAGTCCCAATTCAAGTCTTTTCCCATAGGATTTGGCTTTGTTAACTGTTGAGTGGCTGCAATAATTTATCCAAACTCAAATGATGGCCACCACAGTAGAGTAGAGAATGCCGCATCGAATGGCATACAAATTACAATTAATAGAAATTTGTTGAGCATCGAGTTAAGCCATCGGCAATCCGAATCGCAGGAGACTACGCACATTTATGGGCTACGCACTTAATTTTTGTTTGTCCCATTTGTGTTCACCTTAATTATGGGGCAAACTTGTGTAAGTCATGGAGGTCGCAGAAACGACTCAGAGTCAACGCCAGACGCAGACAAGGCGAAATCAATTAAATTTTTGCAAATGACAGCACAATGGGCCGGCAGCACAGGTATCGTCAGGTGAAACTAGCAACAGAACAGTGCGTAGGTAGCAAATACTTGTCGAGCAATTTATCGAAGGCTATGTGTGTTGCAAAAACACGCCCCTGGGACTCATTTAGCTGCGGAGTGGGACCCACCAACAACCCCACACATCCAGCTACGCTAGACCGAAACACGAGCTCAGAAATGAAGGCCCATGGCTCCATGAAAGGTTTGCGCATTTGCCCATTTGCAGCGCTCTTCACTTGCAAGCATATTTCATTTATAATGGCGTGGCTGGATCAGACGTAATTATGTGGCGTTGCTGATAATTGGACTAGTATTCAATTTATAATATACAAATATAATCTCATATTGCATTATAAACATATATATCACATTTTTGCAGATTTTTAAAAATTTTAATTCATATTTTCAAGTAATTTATTTGAATCCAAAATATAATTTGAAAGAATGCATATTCAATAAATTCCCCAAATATTGCTTTGGTATAAATAAGGCAAGGAGAGAGTTGATTTTTATCAAAAATTATTATCTTTATACTTGCTCACAAATACATCCCTGTAAATGTGTCTATTTGTCTCCGTTTAGCTAAGTCTGTGTAATGAGAAAACCAAGAAGTTGACCTTCATAATGATTTTTTAGTATTATTTAATTTTATATACCCATAATGAATGATTTTTGCACATATACAGTAGAGTACAGTTCCTTTCTGTCGATGAAATGCATTGATCAATACAGCTTTCGTCAAAATCTTAAATAATGTGTTTCCATAATGCAAGATAGTGTATTGCTACCAGAAAAGACTTACGGCGAAAGCAAAGGCATCAATTATTTTGCAACAGCTTCAAAAGCGACCACACGCACAACACAAGCGGATATTCGCCCAACTTTAAGCTCAGTGAGCCGGTAAAAAAAATGTTTAAAGCAAAGTACATAAAGTCAATAGCTGGCTACAGAGGATGCCCGCTGACAGCTCATGACGGTGCTGCCCACAATAATAAACTCCCTCAGTCAAGGGCAGATGCGATGCCCGTGTCAATGGCAAGGGATGCCGTAAGCCGTAAGCCTTCGTTTGTCAGTGTCCTGCATATAATGAATATATGCGGCTGCCATTCACTGAAGTGGGCTTACGTTGTGTTGCCACCAATTTATTTTCTTTCTGCCTCATTTTTCTGCCGAGCCTTAAAAATAGTTTCACATATTTTTTGTCAAACTCTCACAAAAGTCACTTATATCCACCACAAAAGGCTGTTTCTTGCATTATGCTCAGACTCTTTTGTTCGCTTTCTAACTTTTTACGGCAAGGGTGCAGATTAAGCATGAAAACTTTGTTGTTCTTCAAGATTTCTTTCTTTGTAAAGGTAACTACAAAAAAAAAAACCAATGGAATGCCTTACGCTTTTCTAAAATTCTATAAAAATTATAATCCTTACGGTCCCTGGCTGTAGCTAAAATTACAGTATAATTTAAATAAACGACTACATTTAGCAATTAATTATTTTTAGAAAAATAGACACATTGGATTATTGAATGGTAACAGTTTATTCAACTTGATGATTAATAATAAGAAATAGTACTAATTGACACAAGCAAGCGACTTCTTAACATTTAAACCAGTTCATAAAGCTAAATTGCGCAAATACTTTATATATTCCATATGTATACTTATGTACATACTCAACGGTCGATTTGTATCTGTGAGTTGTCTTTGCATTTGATACCGAAGAGCAGTGTATCTCGTTAAATGTAGGTGTGCATTATGGATATGAAGGTAATTTAATAGCTAAATAATCTCTAGGCTGTATAAATAATTTACGACTAAATTAATTTATTCATTAATTAAAGTAAGCCACTGACGTACTGTATACAATATAGTACACATATTCCACTCGCGCATCATTCTATGCTCGAATGTATGTATGTTTGTATGCATGTATGTATGTACTTTAACTTTAACACTTAATGTGCGATTAGAGCTTAGAAATATTCACTTATCGATTTCATAATTTTGATCAATTGCACTCGTTGCACTCGTATGCTGACGATTACACTCTGCAATAGAGTAAACTGTGAAGACTAACCTAAATTAAATTAAAATTTATTTCAACATTAAGAGCATATCGAATACACTGACACAAATGAATCATTCATAAGCGCTGACGCGCTCTGGGCTGTTGTTGCTATACCAAAAAGAAAACAAAAACAAAATATTACTTATTCACGAACAGCGTACAACAATTCTACAACTAAAGCTGCATCAAAATCGTATATAAAATATTGCAATTTGAATTATTTGTTTAACTGGCGAGTACTTTTCGGCATTGATTCGAATTCTATTATGAATTGAACTCAACTTCCTTAGCATAAGCTTCGTGCTGCATTTTCTCACGTAACCGCGTGATGTCCTCATCGATTCGAACGATTGAACGTATTTTCTGAAAGATTTGTAGGTAATTCACATTAGAGATAGAATTAAAAGCTTAGTCTTAAATTTAGAAAAACATTGGAAGACTATCAATTACTATCAATTAGATATAATATACTTAATGATCACTAAACACTCTTCATTTTCACTAAACACTCATCATAAAGACAAAGGGGATTTATTTATATCAATAAATTCAAAGTTCATAAAAATTCTGTGAATTCTTACATCGCATAAGTCTCCAGGCGTTCTTTTCCATAGCCAAAACATATAGGCTGGAATGTACAGCATCGAAGACAATGCAGTGAACCAACCGAACGCATGTGCCCACCAAGGATAGCTGTAGTCCAGATATTTGATTGGCGTCCATTGCACTATATTGAAGAAGAACACACCCTGCGGATATCGATATAATATCGATGAGTCTGGAGTTTGGTATTTCAAGTGACTGCCACTTACCAAGCATATTGCAGGCGTTGTGACACACCAGCAAAACTTCCACCAAACCGTTGGGTAGTATCCAATCATGTCTTTGATGCCATCGTAGAAACGATCTACGCCGTAACACCACGATATTGAGACGCACTCAAAGAATATAAGCCAGAGCAAGCAGAAGCCACTCACTGCATACGAATCAAGTATTTGGAAAATATACATGCCACCCTGAAATTAATAGAAGAAAAACGAGGATCAATACTTTCCCATGATTGACTATATTCAAAGATATAATTTATCATTTCTATAGAGTCTGATACTCAAAAATAGATCTAAACGATTTGGAGAAACCAAAACTCCTCAAGCACTTAAATCTTTACAGTTAGTAACAATTATTGAGTATATAATATTTTGAATATACTATAGCCAGATATAAGTATACAAGAGTATACTTTAAATATAAATAATGTAACCCATCGCACTTACTTGTGTTATGCAGGTCAAGCCAACCAAATAGCTCAGCATGCATACGATGGCTATGAAGATCTCCTTGCGTTTGCGTAGCAGTTGTGGCCACTCGTCGATGATGGCAGTGATGAAACCTTCCATAGTACAGAACTGGGAATCTAGACCTATAAGAAGCAGCATGAAGAAGAAGAGACATGACCAAATTTGAGATCCTGGAAGCTGAAGCACCGCCGACGGATACACAAGGAAGGCCAATCCGGGGCCTATAACGAAATATGATAAACAGATTCTGTAGGGAAGTATCAATGGATTAGCAAAGTTCAATAAGACTTACCTGATGCGGCCACCTCGGCTATTGGCCTTTGTTGTTCGTGAGCCATGAATCCGATAACTGAGAATATGACGAAGCCCGCAAACATACTCGTGCTCGAGTTCACTGTGCATACAATCAGCGCGTCCCTAAATAAATGCATTACAACTATGCTTTCTTCTTAATATAGCCTGAACTTACTTATACACATTGTTCGTAAACTTATTGTAACTTCCGAGGGCCACCAAAGTTCCCAAGCCCAATCCATATGAGAAGAAGATTTGCGTTACGGCATCAATCCATACCTGCAGAGAAATACGTAACTGAAGTACTCCATTCAAGCAAATCTGTGTTTGCATACCTCGGAATGAGTGAGTTTTGAAAAGTTGGGTATGATATAGAACTTGATGCCCTCGAGAGCACCAGGCAGGGTAATTCCGCGAATCAGTAAAACGGTCAGCAAAACGTATGGGAAGAGTGCAGTGAAGTAAACGACTTTGCCGGTCCACTTAACGCCCTTCCAGATGCAGAAATAGCAAAGGATCCAAACCAGCAGCAAGGTGCCCGCAAGCTCCCAGCGAATATTACCCAAATCATCGATACCGGAGGAAATCTGCAATGCCCTTCGCCTGTAAATATTTATAGTCTTTGTTAATGTAAAATCCAGTAAGAGATATGTAGTGAATATTAAGTTAGAGATTATACTAATATTATTTCTTAGATACTAGGACTCAACTCTGTTTAAAAATATAAAATCTTGAATATATGTAACGAATTCCTGTAGCCACAACCCCCACTGACACATTTTGTTGATCAAGATCTTCAGAAGAGTAAATGTTCTGAATCAGTCCCATATATGCTGTTCATTTATCCAGATGTTTGCTTATTCTGGAAACTTATTCAGGTTAAAAGTTGTCCATTTCATAAGTTAATGGAGGTAGAAGGGCTGCAGAGTTTCTGGATTCTCTTTCCTCACTTATCTCAAGTATCACATTTTCATGCATTTGGAACCCAGATTCCTCAAAATGTTTAGGAACAAAGTCACATGCAGTCAAACATAGTTAAGCTCTTCGGCGAAACATACTCCCAAAACTCTTTGACCGGATCTGTAAGCTCAGTTGTCGAAATATTTACGGCTGCCACTGAGCAAACCTTGCCCGCTGTTCCATTGATCATCTTGTCCCAGCAATTAAGGTTCTGTCTCTCGTACTGACTCACACAGCTGACTGTGTTCCACCAGTTGTTGCATGTGCGCCACGGTACGTCTGTAATTGAAGGGAGTAAAAGAAAGCTGCTTAGAGCAAGCTCATCGGAGAGTCTAGATGGACTTACCAGCACGCATGGACATGAAGAAGTAGAACACTGCCCAGGCCAAGATAACAATATAGTAAACATTCATCCAGCACGACATCACAGCCGCAGCATATCCAATTCCTTCCAATGTGAATATAGCAGAATCGTTAATATTACGGTCTATTGGGGTCTCGCCTTAAGTTGAGCTTACCTTTAAAAATTGGAGCGATTTTGAACACGCCCAGGCCACCGATAGTCAACATTTGACCCAGCGCCAGCTCCATGAAGAACATCGGAATTCCTGCTAAAAACAGTGTCAAAATATATGGAAGAATAAACGCACCGCCTCCATTCTTATAGCACAAGTAGGGAAACCGCCAGACATTGCCTAAGCCAATCGCAAGGCCGACTACAGACAAGATGAAATCGAGCTTGGAGCTCCAACTACCACGCTCTGGCAGGGTGACTTTGCTGAGCTGTAAGAACAAGAGCAATGTTAAAAATATTTAGTAAGAGATAGTTTAAAAAAAAACTCTATAATCATTTCATAATACATTCCCGTATTTATCTATCGTCATCTCATCTATCTTGTGTACGAACAATTGCTTGCACATGTTATGCTAAATATTTATTTACAACTCCAACAAAAAACGGGAAATGCCAATTAGTATAAATAATATTCAAGTGCCAAAGCTATGCACTGATTTTTTTTTTTTTCGTTTGCTCTTCTTGTAATGATCAAAACTGCTCATATAAAGGGATGGCATCAGAGCAATGTGCGCAGCTGAAATTGTAAAATGATGTCGCTGTGTGACATCGAATGGCGCGAGTTATTCGGCGTTACGCGGCGTTCTTGCTTTTGAGTACTGCGTGAGTCACTGAGAGAGTGAGCTGGTATTTACATATGTAGATAAATAAATGATTTTATTAGTTTACCCTTGTTTTTCGAGCATAATGAAGGTAACTTTTGAAAGTTCATTTAATGTAAACTTAAATACCACATTTGCTAACAAGATTTTAAAATAAAAGATTGATGGCATTTAACTTTGAGTAATGCATATGATATAATATTTCCAATAGTTCAAAGCATCAACAATAACACAAATATCTTGTTATACCAGTAAAATTTGTATCAATCGACTTTAAAAAATAAATAAAACTTGCATTTTCAAGTATTGAAACAGCTATGAAATAATGTTTAAATATTTAAATATAAATAATCTAATCCATCTACTTTAAAAAATATTTTACGAATACTATATTAGCAACCATCAGATACACTTTGTTTTCCATGTAATTTACCTACCTGATGGCTTGTTGATGTGGCTGTAGTGTCCGTTGCTGCTGGGGCTGATAAGTCTTTTGGGCACAATAGCTTTCCCATTTCGATGGGATCGTGCTTTTGTCGCTCCCCGCCATCGCCATCGTTCCCGCAATTACTAGACATTTCGTCAGCTTTCTGCGCCCTACTTGTATTTCGATCTGTCTTCGATGTTTATTCGGCGTATACAAATTTAGACCTGGGAACACACAACAGAGAGGGATTGTAAACAATTAATGGAATCGCGAATCAAATTGCACAAATCTTGAGCTCGAGTTTCAATTGTGCTTTGATATTTTTAGTAGTCCATATGCACATCTTATTATTTATTGAATTCGAATCATTTATAATTTTATTTTATCCATCTGTCCCACAAGAGAATTTCATAAAGTATGAAAAAAGGATATTATCCATTTGTAGGTATTGTTGGTTTTTGTTTCTCTACTTATACACAGATCGAGTATGTACAGATTTATTTATTATATAAGCATCACAGCAAACCGAATCTTATTTTTCACGCACCCACGACACCCAACCGGGTCACTGGCTAACATCCAACTGAATCTCTCTCGATCTTCGAGCTCGGGCCACCGCAAATATTCATGAACAAAAGCCCAGTTGATGCCTATTAAAGCAGATATGCCAGTAATTTAAGCGATGCTTATGTGAAGCCAGGCTGCCTGTCATTTTTACATACAATTTAATTTAATAATGATTTACTGAGAGGGTTCTGGCCGCAGCCAATGGCTACCTAGAAAACGCGGGCAGTCCATCTACTACATGCGATATAGGTCCGATCCCAATTGGATTCACCCTACCCGACTAACACTCTGATCACTTGCTTACACTTCATATGCCATTCACTATGTATGTAGTACACACTAAAGGGGTCCCAAATACCATTTTTCATCCACTCTTTTTTGCCGCTGAAAACTGTAAATATTTTATAACGTACTGAAAGCTGTAAAGCAATAAATGGAATTGAATGCATACGAATATATGTATATATTAACAAACATAAATAAATAACTTTATATATATGACATGCATGTATATATGCACATTTAATATAAAATGTATAAATTAATTATTTAATAAACAAGAGTTCATTTCGAGTCGATTCTCTACGTACTATGCTTAAAATTCTATCTCAGATATTTGTGTTTAAATTGATATTAAGCTGTATGTATGATTAAAAATACTAAATATTAACATTTCCATAGCTAAGTGTATATAAGAAATATATATTTATAATAATTTTTACATCAATTTTCTTGGATGCAGAACATATCATCAAAAGTAAACAAGAAGGTTCCTCCAATTATTTGAGCACATAATATACTCTCTCGACTATTGTTGCAAAAGGGGCACGATTGTTGTCTTGTCTCTTGAATCTCGCCTTTGCGTGCTGACAATTTGCATAATTCTATTTATAAGAGTCTCCAAGTAGCGAGACTTGCTATTTAGTATTTTGTGTTTGTGTATTTTTTGAGAACGAGTCTTCGAGTAGCATTAGATTGATTACTTGCATTCCTTTTGACCATTTCAAGACTGCTCTTAAAATGTTGTTATCTACGCTCTTACTTGTTTTGCTGTGACTGAAGTTCGCAAAAATGCTTTAAGTGCCGTCAGTGAGGTCATCACTCTGACCAGTGTGTCGGACTGCATTACTGAAGAACGACAGCAACAAAATCCTTTTCCAACTGGAAGAAGCTGGTGTCTCCCATCAGCCTTCGATGTGAATCCTTTCTATGTGCTCTATCCGAGCCATGTCAGGATAATCTTTGCAGGATTAGAGTTCCTACTTTTACTTGATCGAAAGCGTATTCTATTATATAAAAATATGTATTTATTTTAAAAATATAATTACATATCTTATCAAATACAAGTGTAATCTTATAATAATCATATTTATGCATGGCATTCATTGTGAGTATGTTCCTTTATTCAGATTGTACTTATACTTGAACGAAACATTGTATTTGATTGAATTCATTTTGCCTAGAGATTTTTTCAGATCTCCAAATACACACAGACAGCTAATTTAATTATTAGTTATACAAAAATATAATTTAAGTAAAACTTTAATCAACTTTATATAATTTAACTATACTTTCACAATATTTAGTGCTTAAAAATTTATATTTGAATTTTAATACATTTACTTAACATTTAATTAAGTTGATTGCTCGTTTTTTGTTTGCAGTCATCATTAATTTCAAAGTAAATAAACTAAATGTATTTAAAGATAATTTATATTCATATGTATATCCCTTGTGGATAATTATTATGCCTCTGTGATTGAGACTAGCCTAGGCTCTTAATGCTGTTCTTCTCGTTACGAACGCGCCATAAATTTTGATGTTGGTGGTAAATGCTTTTTTTCATACGCACATTTAGTTTATTTGGAATTTGACTACCCCTCGCAGCCCGCCAGGCAGAATTTCAAGCACACACATTCGAGCATCAGATGTTTGGTCGGAAATCGGTCATCAAATTTATGTTTCTATACCCTTGCAGAGCGTGCTTTGATTCTGTCACGAGATGTGTAACGCACTAAAGGGGTCAACTACGAATGCCCAACTACTACTCAAGGCTGATTATCGCTTTGGTCAACTGATCATTCAGTACTATCTCAGCTCATGCTTTAGATTTGGCACCTTGCAAACTAGCCTATCATCTATTATCACCGACTGATTCACGATGTATTTAAGGGTATTTCACACTTCAGGTCGCCAGTGAATCGAATTTGGTTGCCAAGTAAACCTACGCTCTATCACACATACCTTAATTGCATTGAATAGGGGCACAACAACGCACACAGCTATGCTCGCATTACTGTCACATAGATACATAGATAGATGGATATATGTAATTATTTAATCGTATGCCTCGACGCACACACACAAACACACACACACATAGATACATATATACACACTCAATTGCTAAGTGGCAAAATATCAACATGTGCGCTCGGAAATGCATAATCTTGTTGCTAACAGGCTCACTTCCGAATTCGATTATGCCCTCGCAACTAAATATGAAATACACACACAGAGCTGATCTACTTTAGAGAGACTGATTCCATGATACCCTGTAAAAAGTCTACATATAAGCATAATGAATGCAATTTTAAGATGGTCCTCTTCACTCATAGTGCACTAAAACATGTTGTATAAGCAAGCTGTTCTAATATTCCGCTCACTTTGGTTACAATTCAGACTATATAGTAGGTGCTACAGATGAAAAAGTCATACGAATAAATATGGAGATACAAATAAATAGAATAGAAATAGAAATCGATTTGCATTCTTAAGGAAACAATTTTTTTTGTTTCTTTTAAAATAGTCAATATTCAAATATATAAATCGTTGGTCTAAATTGAGCAGAATGCACGGAATCTGAAAGACGACATTTAAATACATAGATTGTCTACCTATTTAGGGAGAATCATGCAATAGAGAAATCGATATATTCATATTATAATTCATAAGTACATCAATTTCCAATTTCAGCTGTCTATCTAGGCAGACTTTGAATTCTTCCTCAGAAGCCAACTGAACCAACATTTGGTCGTAAACAATTCTGTCGAATAATACTAAACAGAATGTAATAAAAATATAAATGATCATTCAAAAAAATCAATTAAATAATTAATGTATTATATAGAGTAGATATTATCCCCTTAAAGTAAAGATCTATAGATGTTGAATAACACAATTATTACAATTATTATAATTATTTATTGACTGTATATGGTATATACTATGAAAATAAACACCATCTATGCAATATTAAAATCCAATAGCATGAAATTAGAAGTAATCTTTATTTATCATCGTAAATTATGATTTGTCGACTCATATGCCTACAGGGTATCTTGCTGTCTCCAAATTTGGCAATCTATGGATCCCCAATAAAATATCTCTTTTAGCTATACAATGGTATTTATTTACGTTATTATACTTAAACCTTTTCATTCTCAAATATAAACAAAATATGAAGTTCAGTTTGATACATTGAACTCGACTCTTTTGTGTACATCAATCATATCCGAGATCGTATTTATTTAATTTCCCCTTTTGAGACTCATTCCACTCTCGTCCTATATGACTCGGCGAGCCTGAAGTCAGTTGGATATTGGAAGCGAGGAATGAAAGATCGATTTGGTTTCACAAGGCAAGAATATTTTCTAATTTGTGCTGATGAATGTAAACATACGAATGTACTCATATGAGTGTGGAGACATTTGTGTATGTGTGTATGTGTGTGTGTGTTTATACAATGGTAAACAAATGGAATAAAGTAGTTTATTGTGTTTTCTTTCTCATATTTCACTGCGCAGCTAAGCAATGTCAAGCGGCTTTGACTTCAACAAATTGTGCTCAACTTTTAGTGAGATCTGCCCGGACTTTGGCGAATCCCATCAAACTGACAAATCGGAGAGCCTGAACTTTGCTAAGAAAGTGCTCTTCGAACTTGGGCCCAAGATGTGGCACATTAAGCAGAGTGGATCGGGCCAAATGTGGCGCTTAATCTTTAATGAGGACACAAGCGTTTACATCTACACCCACTCCTTCCAGCGCCCGGTCAATGTTAATCCGCAGCTGCGCGACAAGAAGCTCTATCTAACCCTCAAGCAGGCTGGACTGTTGGCTGTCAGCAAACTGTGCTCCGGAATGCTCGGTGAACATGACCCAAGAAATAAGGTGCTCTTGACACCATTGGCTCGCGCCGTCTTTCTGCCAGAAAACATTCCGGAAATTGCCGTAGAGCTGACAGAGCTGCTGAAGCGCAGGGTGGACACCAACGAGGTGGTCAGGGCTGTTATCAGCAGCTGCCAGACCGACGGCTTCCACTTGCAGCACAGCCAGTGCCACATTGCGCTGGCCGCCCTTGAGGCGACGGTCCCTGAAGCCGCCCAGCGACAGAAGCTGCGCGAAAAGACCAGACGGCTCTATGCCAAGCATGGCAAGACTTATGACGCGACTCAGTACGATGTCTACGTGAAGTACTCCAAGCGAGATGACAGAGCAGCAGATGCAAGGCCCTCACAGCGAACTGCAGGCGATCAAGGCCGGCCCAAAGGTGAGAGCATAGACGCCGTCTTACGCAGCATTGTCAAGTCTGCGGATGATCCTCTCAGCGGTGGCACACTGGACATGAAATATGTGCAGCCTTCAAGCAGCAGCCAGGAAAGCGAAATGGGTCCATTCTGACGTCTAGAGCCTTTGGAAGACTTTGTGTTCTTGTACCAGCTTAGCAGCCAGGAAAGCGAAATGGGTCCATTTTCTAGATATGAGCCTCTGGAAGACTTGTGCTCGGTCCTGCAATATTTATGAACCAAATCTTAAAATGTGTTTGTCATTTAATGCCTCTAATAATTTAAAAAATTATACAATTATCCGAGATGTCAAAGGGTTGTCAATATGTACAGAAATCGCGTTGCTTAATCAAATGCCCCTATTTTTATTATTTTTCGAAATGTCAATAAATTTGTTATATTCTCAAAAACCCATAGTCACTATGATCGGTTGCCATCGAAGGGACACACTCATTTCTTCCTTCTGTGTGCGGGCACAATATGCGCGTAGCTCGAATCGGACGTGACCTCGAGACTTGAGGAGACGAGCGAGCTATGTTTCTCCCGCTGGGAACTGAGCAACAGTATGACTCCATCGACGATTTCGTCCAAGCTTACGGGCCGATTGTAGGACAACAGCACCGCCGATATTATCGGCATCAGTATGGCATTATAGTCCGGCTCCATTAAGGGGTTTGGATAAGCACGATTTTTGATCATATCTAAAATGCACAATTTGTTGTTGATTTGTTGATTTAGTTCTCAAAATGGATTTCTGTGTATGAGTGTGTCAGTCTGAGCTGTGTCTCATATCTGCCATAGCAGACAGCTTGATCGGGCTGACAGCTAGGCCCCAGCCAGCTCCAAGTCACATCCGAATCCACATCCATAACTCAATCCTAAGCACTCGTCTGGTCACCGGTTGTTGAATTTCCGCCCTCTCCTGCCACCCCTCGTCCCGTGCGGGGCCAATGAAAAATTCAATTTGAAAAAGTGTCACTTGTCAGCTGGCGATATATGTGTAAGCCCCTCCCCCTCCCCCCTCCCCCCTGCTCGCTGCACATTGTGCCATTCCCTTTGTTGTCGCTGCTGCTATTTTGCTATTCCGTTTTGTGTTTTGCTTTTTTGGCATTCCGAAATATCAATACTACGGATATGCGACAAGCATTTCATATGCAAATTGATCAGAGCCCACAGTTCGGCGAGTCTATAACCAAGAGCCACCCACCCACGCATATGCAAATGAGCAGCTCCATCCTGGGCTGCACTTGCAGCAAAGTTCGCAGTGGAAAATACTTTTTATGACTACCATTTAACTGTCTTGTATTGTAAGCGCCTATCAGGCTAAGTGCGATACTCTACAGTCATCCTTTGCCACAAAACATACAACAACAATAAAATAATTGCAGAACTTTATAGAGATGTGATACTCTTTCCATTTTAAACTAATTTACATTGAACTTTACTGTACTGTGACGTTACTGAGTAACTTATTGATATCATTTTGATTTACAACAATTGCAACGTGTTTGTAAAGTAAAGTTCATCAATTAGATACATATGTACATAGTATAACAGTACTTGAATACCCAAAGAACAAGTTGCTACTGCTCGATAAAATTATTGCGTAATATAGTATTTTTAGTAGTAGGGGTCCATACATATACATTTGAATATATGTACATATGTATGTTCCCAATGTGAGCTTTTGATATTATTCTGAATCAGAGAAATATATGTACATACATATAAGCATATGTGTATACATATGTAGGTATACGCCCATCGTCTCTGAATAGGCTTCAGGCTTTAAAATACTTTCTTTATTTATTTATTTTACATTACAATTAATATTTGTAAACCTTTTAAAATATTAAGCAGTGGCAACTGGGACCTTCGGCTCGGAACGTACAGTGGCTCTGAGCATATTTAAAGCAGGAGATAAAAATAATACTATGTGAGAGATATCAACTAAATATTAAAGGCATTGAGCTGTTTTCACTCTAAGGTTTTATGTTTTCTTTCTTCTAAAATGAATTAAAATATTGTTAGCTATACGATTTTAGGACTGTGCTTATTGCATTGAGAATCAGACACATGAGAGACAAAAGTAAATCAATCTTTATCCAATAAATTTAAATACTTTATATATATGTATGTATATATATATATCTATAAATGCTTTTTTTGCATAAAAACTCAAAACATTATGCCCTAATAATGTTTTCAATACATTCAGGCTATAGAAAATGTGGTTAATTTCAGGGATGCCCGCAAAAACCCCAAAAGCATCCTCAATTTCTTTCTTTTACATATGTACATATGTATATACAATTATTATTTTAAAGGTAACATTTTTACCGTAAAGAAATCGAAATCTAACTTAATTAGATGTTATGTTATAATTTATTTATATTATAATTTGATTTTTCGTGTTTGTTCATTTATTTTTTTTATCTTACATTATGTAATTTCATTAATACCAAAGAAAGTATATTTTCTGTATATCTTATTGCATACAACAACTAACCATATAATTAATATATTTAATACGGTTTGTGTGCTTTATCGTGTATCGAATCGTTCGAACTTCAGCAGCCCTAACGATACTCTTCCATGTACTCACACACTCAAAGCTAAGCGACGGGATCGAATATGTTTACTCATTACTTGACCGATTTTGATTTTTGTTTTGCGCCGCATTCGAGCAAACTTCAGTTCGTGATTATAAGCAGAGGCATAAGCATCAAGCTATCGAACGGTTCCGCTGTCGGTCTATAGAAGAACAAAGAAAATGTAAACAAAGATTACAATTTCAGTATGTTTTAATTCATTGCAGATACATATAAGCTGAATCGATGTTCTATGTTTTGTGCATGTATACATATGTATGTGTAATGTGTAATGCGATTACATGAATATTTTATCTGAATGTGGTTTGTGCGTGAGTGTTGTTTGTTAAAAAGAGAAAGACTTGCTGATTACTTAAATTTATGTTGTGAATATAGCCTGGAAATATTAATTCTTCAATGAGACTTCCACGACAATCTTCAGTTTCTTAGTATAATTACTGTATGTATTTATGCAACTCGAGTTTAGTTGGAAAACATGCAAATACTCATACATACGCTCATAGGTACATATGTATTTGTATACAATCACAGAAGATCGCACAAGTAGCAACATTTCTGTTGAAATATATAAATGTACATATATAGAGATTCCTCCGACTCAGCGAACTTTTGATATCTGCGCAACATGTTGAATGCTAGAAGAGAGGCTTTATATATAAGTGCATTTCTTATATTTTTTTTATAGAGTGAATAGAATCAAAGTGAGTTGAAAGTGTCTCATATTATTTAAATTTAATATCATTTGTATTTTTGGGTTTTACCATTTACTAGTTTCAGTTCTATACTTTATGAAATGGATAAATTGGTTGAAATTCTCTCAAGCCATTATTCGCAAAAGATATAGACGTTGTTCACGATCTCTGCTGTTATATTATATTATGTGAAGTTCTATATTTACTTGCAGAAAATGAGTGAAACCGCCAAGCCAAAATTTATTTTTGATTTTCAAAAGTTGACCAAAACTTTCACTGAGATCTGCCCGGACTTCTCTGCCGAGCCAAGCTATGCGAATGCAACAGTGAGCCGCCGCTTCGCCGAGCAGGTGATCTTCGAGTACAGCAAGGAGGCCAAAAAGGCCAAGGCGAAGAACGTCGATGAGATTCAGAGGATGTCGCTGCAGACAAAGAGCGCCCAGGGCTACTTAATAAAGAACAGGGTGACCATAGTGCTGCACACCCGAAACCCGGCACCGCCGAGGCAACCCAGCCTGGTGGACGGCAATCTAGAGCTGACCTTCAAGCAGGCCAGTCTGCTGGCCGTGGCCAAGTACTGCCAGCTGGTGCCACATCTGGTACAGCGCAATGAGGTGGTGCTCACTCCGCTGGCTGGGGCGGTGTTCGCCAAGGAGGATCTGCAGCAGCTGGCCAGAGTGCTGAATGAGCCGCTGGCCGAGCTGGTGATGGCAGTCATCAGCAGCTGCCAAACCGATGGCTACTATCTGGAGCACAGCCGCTGCGAAATCGCACTCGCAGCCCTCATCAAGACGGTGAGCGATCTGAAGATGCGAGCTTCGCTCGTCAAGAAGACTATCAAGATGTACAAGCTGTATGGCAAGGAGTTCGACATGCGCAAATTCCAAATATGCATCAGATTCCTCAAGTCCGATAGCAATTCGAAGCACTCTAGTAATGATATCGAGCAGATTTTTTCCAGTGTAATGGCAGTCGATCTGAAGGCCGACTCAATGCCCGTGCGTCCCATGCCGAGGACCAAGATGACGTGCGCCGCGAACTTCAGCGGTAAAGCTCTGCAAAGCAACAAAAAATGAAACTTTACCTACTTTTCTTAATGCGGTACTTATTGCGTGGAAAATTTGTTAAGGGAAAACTGATTTAGACACTCGCTGGCTTCTTATGCCACAAGCTTCAAGCTACGTTTTCAATTTTGAAATCGAATAAACCAATTCAAAACCTTGCTAAATCAGGATTCAACTTCCTTACAAAAATTTCTTCATGTTTGTTTCACAACTTTTCTTTGGAAAAAAAAAAAAATTAAAAAAGTTAAAAAATGTATATACTTTATACAAACTATATTATATCACACTGTATCCTTCATAAAATATAATAAATATCTTCTTCGTCTTTTCATAACTAAAATTGTTTACTGATTTCTGAATATAAGGACTAGAAAAAATTTAAGCTGACCAGCTAATTCTGATGAAGCATGATACGATATGGGATGAGATATTTTTTGTAGTGATTTTCTCAGATGTTTCACTCAATTTTTGAGATGGGTTAGGTGTACAAAATAAGTACACTTAAATTGTATTTCAAGCAAAACAGATCCAATTAGTATCAACTTAAACTAACTGATGGTCGTACAACGCCGTAGACAATGGATCAATGAGTTAGGAGTTTGAGCTTTAAGTTTGCTTTATTGTTGGTATTTCTGACTGGGCTGGCAGAGCTTATTGTAAGATTTAAGTTGCTTGTTTGTGGTGTTGTCTGGTTAAAGTTTTACTCTTGCGTTTTGTTGTTGTGGCGACAAAGCCTTGCTGAGATTATGCCGTGACTAGTCCAGGGGGGATGGGGCATTGGTTAGACCCTTTTGCGGTTTCTGCGTCGCAGCCAAAACTTTGGCACTAAATGTACCGACGCTGAAAAGCCTTTAAGTTGCGTGGGATATCACAGGAATATCTAAAGCAAAATGTATAGTTGATAAGCGGCAAGGGACCGAAATCAAAATATAAAATGAAAAAAAAAGGAAAGTATGTCGCCCTTTTCTTTTGCCTCTGGCACTCTGTGAAAAGGGGGATTTCCAATTATTAGAAGTAATATTTCGACATTATCATTATTTTAATAGACTGTTGGCCTAATTAATTTGAAACAAGTTTTTAATTATTTTATTCACACTGTGATTTGACATTTACTTTGAAGTAAAATAAAATAAAATATATTATTCGATTATTGAAAAAAAAAAAAAACACACAAACAAACAAAAACAAACATAAATAGCCACGTAAAAATATATGCATGAATATAATTGACATTCTTGCCTGAGTATATACTTTCGTATTTCAAATTTAACGCTCAAGATCCGCTTAGTAATCGAAATCAGCAACACAGAAGCGCAAAAACGATTCAGTGTTGGTAAACGTGTTGCACTATCGATGCCACGCAACCCTGGGCATAAATTAGCGGCAAAAGAAGCATCAAAATACGCAATCAAAACAAGTGGGACTAATGCGCTGTTATTTATTTATTAGAAATGGAATCCATAAATTTTAACGATTTCTCCGTCAAGGAACGTCACGAGATAATCACGGCGTTCCTCATCAAAATGCGCAAAGCCAATTCGATGCACAGCGCACACAGCTTCTTTCAATATTACCTCAAGCAATTTTACAAGATGCCAACCAAACTGCTCGACGACATAATCTATTGCCAGCGCGCTATGAAAAGCTATCTTTCCGTACATCAGGTAATCTTTGTTAGCTCAAGCTTTGACTAATCCTAATGGATTATTATATTATGTTTTCTAACTGTTGCAGACAATCACAAATGTCTTTGCCGTTCAAGCAGATGCCGTAAGTTGTCGCTATTGTTGTTGTTATACCCTGGAACAAAATATAGTGCTTAAAATATATTAGCTTTTGAAAATAATTCTGAAACTTCTACGACGGCTGAACTGGACTCATATATCCGTATAGCCTGCCATGAGAGCGCATTAATCTCGAAAACTTAAAAATCTACAGATATTATATCTAGACTCACATTTACATAAGTTCCGGGGTATCTACTAACCGCTCGCACCCGATTAGAAAACTTCAGTTTCCAGTTCTTATGTTTTTATTTTTTTGTATTTTGAAGGATCCCGAGACAAAAAACAATTATCTACTCGAGATAGAAGACACGGTGCATCAAATTAATGCAGAGTGCCAATATTTGATGATTCGCCTAGAAAAAGACATCGAAAACTTCTGTTTACCCTTTACGGAGCAACAGCTGCAGCCCAACAGCGATTTGATCAGCGAAATGGTCAGTGAAGCTATTGTCCCGTTAGTCTGCACGAAGAGCCTGCTGCCCTTCAAGCCACATACGGTCACAGAACGGCCCACAGAGAACCAATTGCTTCGCAAATACTTCACCATCGACGTAGACAAGAAGAGCTCGTTAGGCGCCAAAACGGAGGTCACAAAGCCCACAAAATCGACAACTAGCTGCAGAAAGAAAAACGTGAATGCAATTGCTGCTGCCGCTCCCCCTGCTCGGGTTACAACTGCGCAACCTGCTCGTGCTCCACCTGCTCCCACTTCTCGTGCCACAGCTGCTCCTCCGGCTGTTCGTGCTTCTGCTGTTGCTCCGCCTAAATCAAGCTGCAAACCAGCAGCAAAGACAACGCCAACAGAGGATGCAAGTAAAAGCGATGCAGTGAATGCCAGTCGCCTTCATTTGCAGGCGGCTCTGGAACGAGCGCGCCTCAAGAAGCAGAAGGTAAACAGCGAGACCAAAGCGCAGAGTCCCAAGGAATCGTTTCTGCAGTCCTTTGGGCTGTGCACACAGCTGGAGCACAAGCGTATGCTCCTGGCCCAGGCGCTGAGTCACAAGCGGGTTCGAAAGCCCATACAAAATTAGTTAACTCGATTAGAAGTAGAATTATTAAGTTTGACAGAGTTTATAATGTTAGATAGTTCTATCTGAAATTAAGGACTGTTAAGTACTTGACTCAGCTTTATGCTTTAACCAATCGTAGTCAAATAAGTGTCCCTATGTTAATTTATATTCATTTCCTTAATTTATAATTGTTAGGAAAGGCAACCATAGTTAAGCCATGAAATATTTAAACTGATGTACATTCACGTTACATTTTCCTATTTTATAATTGTGTATTAATGACGAAAAAATAAATCACATTTTACTTTGAAGGAATTCTGTTTTATATCCCTGCCAGAAGGGGAAAGTCAGAGAGAAACAACATTTCATGGCATTATTCGGGGAGAATGTTTTCTCTTGTCTAAGACGAACAAAACAACGTGAAAGGACAATAGCGCCTAATAGCCCGTTGATGGCGTTGCGTGAGGTGCCGGAACAGTTGAACGTACGGGCAACAGTGCTTCGCTCATTTATCATTTACACACCAACGCACGTTGGCGCACAGATGAACAATACCAGATACACAGATGCGCAGCGAGAGAGAGCTTTGGGTCAGGTTCCTTTCTTTTTTATTGTGGGAATAAACTGCGCCTATTCGCACTATATATAGAAGCATAGACTGCGAACTGGACTGAAGAACCATTTGATACAGTCACCTATAACCTACAGCAACTCCAACTCGAATACCAACCTATACCCGACCATTACATTTGCATTGATGTAATCAGCTTGTGGCTGGGTCATCAAATTGCTTGAAAAAATGCCAAGCAACATTCCGCTGAATTGCTGTGCGGCAACAGCAGGGGAAGGGTCACCCGCCTCCAATCAACCACCCACTCAACCCTCGTTGCTTTTATATTGCGTTACAAATTGTTTGTTTTCTTTCGCAACCCTTTTAATTTTGTGGCAGGTAAATCCGTATCACGTAAATGGTGCAATACAATAAAATAGCTTGAACGGGCTTTTTGTGCTGCCCAACAAATTTTTGCTCAAAGGTCATAAAAAAAACCAAAAAGAAATTTAAGATTAAGCTATATTTATTTTATTAATTAGTGAATTACCTATTTTGTTCGAGTAACTTTTATTTCAAATACCGATAGCCGATAACTTTGTAACAACTTTGCGCGCTTGCAGCCAGGGTTGGGTAAATCGTCTATTTACTCTGTTATTGAATAACCGCACAGCTGTTCGCAGGACTTGGGCAAAGAAGTTTTGTGTAACTATCTTTTGCAAAACAATGGTTCTTCAATATCGCGGCGAACTAATTCGACAAATTTTAAGACGATGCCATCGTGCGGGTATGTACGTAGCTATTTACAAATTAAAAATGAAGAGATTTATAGATTTTATTGCTTCGATCCAGTTGCGGCAACCAAAACCAGCGCCGGCTTAACAAGTTTTCATGGCGTCTGGCCACCATCGGAGAAGAAAGACTTTGAGCAGGACATGCGTATTGTGCCAGATTTCATAAGCGAGGCCGAGGAGAAGCAGTTGCATGAGGAAATCGAGCCATATATGAGCCGACTGCGCTATGAGTTCGATCACTGGGACGATGTGAGTATTGGCAGATGATTGAAGCGCTGGCTCTTGTTAAACCAACTACCGTGTAGGCAATTCATGGATTTCGGGAGACAGAGCGCAAGAAGTGGTATCCCAAAAATCGCGAGCTCTTGGAGCGTGTGCGTGAGGTGGCGTTCAATGGCGCAATCATGCCCTACGTGCACATTTTGGATCTAGCCGCCGATGGCGTCATCAAGCCACATGTGGACAGCGTCCGCGTAAGTCTGCGGAGCAATTCACATAAGAATAGTTTAATTAATAGTATATGTTTGTGATAGTACTGCGGCAACACCATCTCCGGCATCAGTTTGCTCAGCGACAGTGTCATGCGTCTTGTTCGCATTGATCCCCAGAAGTATCAGCAAAATGGTTCCAGTGATAACGCCGAGGATACTGCGTATCGCCAGCAGCCAGCGGCGTTGCTAGAGAACAACTTCTATGCGGATCTCCTGCTGCCGCGTCGTTCGCTCTACATAATGAGCCACACAGCACGCTATAATTTCACACATGAAATCCTCGCCAACGAGCATTCCAAGTTCCTTGGGAATCCCGTTCCGAAAACACGGCGTATTTCCATTATTTGCCGCAATGAACCTTGAACGTCCAATGTTAAATTTATATTGTTGATTTTATAAAAGCTTATACTTTAAGAACTGTTTACTTATATACAATTGTTTATAAAAGTTTTGCGAGACCTTCAAAATTTATTTATTTATAGTTTGCTCATTCCGATTATGCGATTATGGGAAGAGGTGATATTCCATTGTCAATAAATGTTTATGTCAATATTTTCAGTGCCATGGCATTTTCTGATATATAGGCATGGCGATTTGCAAATGATGCCATTCATTTTCTGGAGAGCTCGACTGAGACTGTGAGATTCTTCCGGCTATGACAATCATTCATGACTTCTTTGTGTGGTATGCTGCTAGCTGGCAGGAAGCCTCCGGGCCCATTCCTCAGTCAGAAACTCTCTTTACATAAGGGAAAAAGCTCGCTCTCTTGCGCTGTTACTTTGCCAATGCCATCCACATAACTGTTAATTGAACTGCAAAGTTAACGGGTTAAAGAACTTACAGCCCTGCCGTATAATATGTTTAATTAGTAAATAGTATAAAAAATAAGAACAAAAATGAAAATATAAATTAATAATTTAAAACAAAATTGGTTTATTTATTAAATAATATAATATAGAAAAAAAATTAATAAATAATTCAAAATAATATAGTCGTATAAATAATAATAATAATAATAATATATTATTTAAAATATATATGAGTATAAAAGTAATTTTACTTTACTTTTATTTTTTTATACCCTGAATATATTGAAATTGAGAAATCCGAATATAATGGGCTTCTGAAAAGGTATGTTTAGTTTAGTTATATAGATCATATCTTCAAAAGATCTTATAAGAAACAATTGATTCACTTGAAATGTTAAAATCATAATTTTAATTGGTTTTCTAACGTTTTCTGAGTTTGCTTCGATCAAAATTATATATTTAGGCATAAAACATTGTTAAGTCAAGGACAAATTCAACTGAAAAATTCTGACATAGTATTATGATTTTAATCTGATAAAAAGATATAAAATGTTGCCTGGATGGTTGAGAGGATATTGTTAGGACCCACTAACTTGTTTTATTGAAAACAAAACTGTTGAAATACACCTGAGCATAGAGCAGCTGCAGGTGAGTCTATAAAAAGTCCATCAACAGACTGCAACAGAGGCAGAAAGCTGAAAAGTCGCCCGATTGGGCGAGCCCCCAACTTGGGCCAGCCCCAAATCAAATGGCAGCTGAAAACTTTGAACAAATTATAAGCACTTAAACAGTTTGCAACTGGGGCGACGTTCTCAAGTGGAACCCAGCGAAAATAAAAAAGGGACAAAATATTGTCTAACTTTTGTTTGGGTCGCCTTTATTTCGGCGATTCGACTGTTATTATTATTTGCATGGCCAACCGCACTGCCATTCGGGCCGGGCCATCCACTCAGAGCCATCTCAGTTCTCCATTGTGAGCTCGCAAAGTTGCACAATTCAGATTTTTCTTTCTCTCTCTCTCTCTCTCTCTCTCTCTTGACCATCGAATTTTCCTCATTTTCTGCGACAGTTTTGGTTTGCTGGGATCAAAAGCCGAAACGAATGGCTAGGAAGTGGCCTAATGACGCAGAGAAGTTGGCTAAAAGTGTTTCGGGGCATAAATGCAAATGTGTTGAAGCTTTTTGCTGCATTTAAATCGGAAGTTATCTTTTGGTTTTTTTTTTTTTTTAATATTTATTATTGTTAAATATCATAAACGGCTTACTAAAATGTTAAAAAAAAAAATTTGAACTAAATTTGTGCTAATCTAATCGAAGAGATTTTATACTCCTTAACAAAATTTAAAGGAGTATATTGGTTCTGTGTAACATATGACTATTTAATCTAGAGATTTTGAACCTGGAATATGTGTATACTCAACATTGATATAGGAAAATAAATTATTTTTATATATAGTGTAAGATGGATGAGTAAATATATACAAAATAATAATAGATATTTTTCTTCTGCTTAATTTAGGAGATCAATATTGCTAAAACAATGAGCCTTTTAGTAATCCAAAAAGAAATATATGTATATCTATCTCGCTTTTAGTAGAACTGTTAGACGACTGATAAATCAATTTTATAAATTACACTGAAATAATATTCAACAATGATATTATATTATATCCATCCTGATCAAGTTCCAGTACTTTATTTAAAGAGTTACTTACTGGAACTGAAAAATTCAAGGAACTACTGCAAGAATATTTTAGAAAATCACAAATAGAAGAAAAAACACATGAATAAGAGTTATTGTTGGAATCTTTCTGTTTTGATTTATTAAGCTGTACACATATGTAGTTCACGCATGCTTCAAATGCATGTTCAAAGCGTGCATTTGTTTTGATTCATTAATTTTTATTGTTGGGCTTTGGAGAATTTTGTAAAGATTAAACTAAAACTGTTAACAAACATTTAGAGATAAGAGTATATATATGATTAGCTAAGTATTTCGATAAGTCTGTTCCAATTGGGTCTCAAAGGGAAAAGTCCGCTAGAATTACAAAATGTTTCATATTGAAATCAAGAGAGCTTTTCCGATCATGTGCGAAATTATTGTGGCCTTTAAAAGTACGTACATTGGACATGTATATATAAAAAAATATATAATATATGTATATATATTTGTATATAGGATACTTAAAATGAAACAAGCAAAGTATTTAACGTGACATCAGCTCCTAAAAAAACCTCATATACCAAAGCAGTCTACGTTTTTCGTTTGTTTGAGTTGGCATATTTGTAATGAATATCTTAAAGCACCCGAAAGAATTGAATTCGATATTTGAATTGAATATGCCACTATACAACTATAACAATATATTTTTGTTTTCGTTTGCTCAACAGGAACCAAAGTATCAATATTTAATCTTCTCTCATTTTTTTTATACGCTATCATAAATTTGGCAATCTTTCCAATTGTTGTTACTGTATAAATTTATAATTATTAATATTATTATTAATTGTTTTGTGTAAAAAAGTATTTTCGTTTTGTTTCCAATTTAGTTGACTAATCAGCAAAAAATTGTTATACATTTCAATTTAAATACTAAACATACAATATTATAATCATTCAATTCGTTTTAGTCGTTATTTGTTCTCTTCATTGTTCTTGCAAAATTATTAACAAATCACAGTAAAAAGCAACAATGCTAAAATGGTCGTAATGCATTTTGGTTTTCTTTTCGATTTCGATTATGCTATAAAGATTATCTAATACACCATTATTATTTGCTTTATGGCTTCGGCAAAACGTACGCAACTGTACCTAAAATTACAATATAATAATCGAAGATGAGAATAACAATAGTTGAGAATATTCGCAATGGATGATTTGTTCTTTCGCAGATGAATGACAGATCTTGAGATTCAAGAGTGTATTCAAAATGAAAACTCTAAAATTCAGCAGCAAATGTTAGTGGAATGTGATAATTCAAGACAGTTGCCAATAGTTCACCTTGGATAACACTTAAAGTATATTCTTAGAAAAGTACGGAAAATAACAAAAACTTAAATACAATTCGAAATAGAACGATTCAGAGCGCGCACAGTTACATCGTGCTCAATTCATTCATATTCATACAATATCTGTTCGCTTATGTATTATGTATTATTAACACAATGAAACAATGGAAGGGGCACTTGGAGGAAATATATTGGGTATGCTGAGATTACAATTTCGCAACGTGCTTAGCAGGTTTACGGGGAATTTTGTTCGCTTCGTTCTGATAAATATGGCTCAACGTGGCGCTACTTATTGTATATCCCGAGTATAAGACATTTACGCATAGGCATTACATATTGTGTATACAATTTGCTTACATAATATATATATAGAGAGAGAGACATTCAATGTTTGATCGTAACGGTTCACGCGTGACAGATATTAGCAAAAATAATGTTAGATTCATTCTGAATGTTTTATTATGTTTCTTTGTATTCAGTATTAGAAAAGTTGATGCTTTGTCGCATTCTGAAATTCAATTCCATCCAAATCAATGCTCAATTGTTCAACGACCCAGACACACGTGTAAACTCAGCTTTCGCTTCCATAATAAATAGTTACAGATAGACGTTATAGATATATACCTGGAGGCTAGTTATTTACACAGTTAGATGATAGGCTTTAAAAGTAGCGCTCAAAAAATATACACACATATACACAGACAGACAAATAGATGTACACGGATTGCGGGAAAACATCAATGCTTAGGTATGTCGCCACTACAGTTATTCGGCTCCTGCTGCTGCTGCTGCGGATGCCGATGGCGATGCAGCAATCAGCTGGCTGCGATGTAGCGCGGCTTGGCAGCGTTCGCATCCAAGGTGCTGGCATTGCTGTCCATTTGCTGCAGCTCGATCTCGCTGAGCAGCGCCCAGTTCTCGCTGTCGCTGTGCACGTGCAGCCGCAGCTCCTTGATGGGCCCAATTTTCGGGTCGAGCAGTCCCTCGGCCACGCCCAGCGCATCGAATGAGCCCACCACCAGATAGCCATCCGTTGTCGTATTGTAGGTACTCCAAACGGACGAGTTCTCGCTTAAGCTGTCTGCGGGCAGCAGCTCCACGGTGGTATTGTAGAAGCGATCCGACGGGTGCTCCGAGTTGCCGCTGCGGAATAGGTAGCGACGCAGCAGCGTCGGCTGCTCGAAGATGAACTGCACCAGGTCGCCGGGCTGCGGCAGCAGACCCCAGAAATACGTCTCGCCGCGATAGGCGCGCTTCAGCAAATAGTTTTTGTACGGCGCTATATTCGACTTGACCAGCGCGGGCGGGTTGTGCGTGTGCGCATAGTAGGATGGAACCTTGCTGCCGAATTGCTTGTCCTTCAGCTTTTGTACTTTGCCCTTGAGCGAGGAGCTGGTCCCAATGTGCTGGAAAAGCGACTTGCGGAAGTGCTGCCAATACCTTGCCTTCTCCAGATTGCAGTGCTTCTGGTCCTTGTCCGTGCGACACACCTTCGACTCTATGAAATAGGTGAGCAGCCAGTCCACGGGCTTATCATTGTAAAACATTTGAAAGTACGTTATGAGGTATGGCAGCTCGGCGCTCTTAAACATTTTGCCAATGAAGCCGAGCTGGCAAAAGTCCAGCACGAACCAGTCCGGCTGATCGGGCTTGGTCAGAGCGCTCTTGATAAGCGCGAATTTCTTCATAGTGGTTATAAATTGCCGCTTTGTCAATATGTCATCCTCCAGCTGCACGTAGAAGGTGCCCTTCGAGTGCGCATAGGCCATGAGATAGGCGAAATCCAGGTTCTGTTTGCTGCGCCACTTCACGCGCTCCAAGGAGTCGTTCAGCGTGATGCGCAGCCGATCAAAGTTTGGATAGTAGCTGGGCGCTGGTGCTATAATGTCTATAAGTCCGCTCTCCACATGCGCCTCGAAGCTGGTCTCAATCTGCTTGGCTATCAGCTGGACGGCATCCAGCTCTGTTTCGCCAATGTAGACAATGATCAGAGTCTCGTTCTGCTCCTCATCATTCATGTTCTCAATCAGATTGTGCAGCGTGGCCAGCAGATACGATTGCTTCTCGCGCCGCACCGTCGGCACGCCCAGCACGATGCTAACGTCGGATCGACCTTTGCTCTGGAAATACGCTGGGCGCAGGGAGCCAGCGTCGTCCAGCAGATGCGGCAGGAAGTGATAGGCGTTCGGCAGGCGTATATTCTGTGCGGGCACATAGCCACGCGTCAAGCCAGAGCCACCCGATCTGGACGCGTGGGATGCGTTGCGCAGCAGCTGCCGTGCCTCCGGACTGAGCGCATCCAGCAGGTTCGACACCGGCTGCGGCGGCGGACTCACATTGGTCACATTGCTGCCATTGTTGGTCTGCAGCTGGCCCAGGTACTGGGAGAGCAGCGAGACGTCCTCCTGCCGAGCACGGTACATAGACTCCAGGTATTGCAGCCGCATGTGGCACTCGGCCAGACGTTGCGTCAGCGACTGTTCGGTGGATAGTTCTGGTCCCAATACCATCAATACCACAATGCAGGGCACCAATATTAGCACCGTGGCAATCAGCATACAATTCCGTTGACGAATCTTAAACATATTTACGTTCGCTCGATGCCCAAGTCTTTTATCATTTAGCGTCGCTTAGACTGTGCGCCCGAAAACAGAAAGAGCAGCAGGTTATACGAAATACAATCGACTATTCATTCTGCAGATACTTGTCTCACATACCAAAATTCAGCTGCCTTCTCAGACGCACAACTTCTGGTCCGATATTGTCACTTCACACTACATTCTCTGAAATCAAAATTAGAACTTCATTGAGGAGTGGTAATGAAATACAATAGATATCAGGCGATGGCATGGAGTAATGGAACTCTAGTGTTATGCTGGGCTGCCATATCTGTACAGATATGACATACTTGGAAATAGGCCCACTGCTATTAACTGTTGGAATTTCTAATCATTTTGGTTTACCAATTTCCATATAGCTGCTCGAGTTTCGCTGTTCGCTGTTGTTGTGCAATCCGCAGCCACATCGTAGCCCCAATTGAACTGTTCGCTGTCGTCTCACTAGCCCGCATGTTCGTTTCACGTTTCCTATGACTAATGCAGGCGGCAGCAGCAGTGGGCCGTGCGCCCCATCCGAGCTGGGCGGGGGCCTGCGGCGAAGGTTGAAACGTTTAACAAGTCTCCCAGGTCTCGGCTACTATTGTTGCTGGCTTACCCTTAGCCGTGAACGTCGCTGTTAACGTCTTTTATGGGGCAGCTGTCGCTATTCTCGCCGCACGACCTGCAATAGCAACAAATTATATAATATACTGCTGCATCAAATACTGTATATTGTGTGTGCAAAAACAAGAACAAAATTCTATTTACATGGCCAAGCGCCAAGTGCTTTATATCTGTTCCTATTGTTGTTTCACCCGTTCGATCGTCGGTGGGTTTTTCACCAGCGCTAACAAAACCAAAGAGCGAGAAAGAGAGAGAGAGAGAGAGAGAGAGAAAGAGAGAAAATACAATGTGTTAGTATATAGGCTAATACTTGCTAATGAGCTGTAAGCAAAGCTCTTTGAGCACAGCTACAAAGATATACTACATATGTTTTCATATACTAATTATATATTATTGCTGATAATATGCCGAACACGGAAATCGAGGAATTACTTTTACATTCCCTATGCAAGGTGAAACACCTTTCCGAATTTCGATTCTATTCATCTAAATCTTTCCATAAACAACATTAATTCAGAACGTAAACAAACGAAAATAATAGTATTTAATAAGAAATCTAAATAAACATGATACAAGATTAAAGTCCGATACAAATAAGTGGGCTTAAAGAAAGTTTCGAGAAGTATTAATTAATAATGTAAACAAATTAATCAATAGTTATATAAATAATTAGATAGTAAATGAATATTATGGATCTCTACTACTAGTGAAGCAATTTATTTATAAAGTTAAGTTATTAATGAAATTACTGCTGGATTAAATTGGCTACAGCTGCTAGGGTTCAGTTTATTATTACTATTTTTTTTTTTGCTCTAAAGAGATCACCAAATTCACCAGGAATCAACATTTTATAAGTCTATTGTCATTCGTTGTTATTATATTTATTTAATTTTCATTTGTATATACAAAAGAACCATTAAATTGCTTTCGAATTTCTTGGAATACTTATTGTATACAAACATTCTTCCTCAATTCCAGGAAAGATATCATCTAGCTATGGTTCATACCAAATGGATTAGAGCCAGAGCCACCTACATTATTTTGATGAGTTCTTATGATATTCTAATGCATATCGAATAATTAAGCGGAACAAATAAAACATAGAACGGGTCAATCTATCTGCTATTAGGTTTATTACAAATTATTTGAAGCAACCGCGTGTGAGTAGGAACGTGTGAGCATTAACAGTTATGACATAGCTGATAAGTAAACAACTACAAGTAAACATTAATAAATAAACATTAGTTAAGGTACTCCCACAGGGTGCTAATCCCACACCCACATACACACACGCATTCATATATATATATATATATATATATATA